TTGTAAACACTGGACCACAAAGAGCACTGTGAGCAAGAAAAATACTAATCAGGCTGCTTAATGCTAGCTTTAACTGGAGTTAATGACCATGACTTTGGTCATTAGGGTCATTTTGCAAGTTGCTTATTACAGTAACGTGAGTGGAAACATATGACAACAAGGGTATTATTTTCCATGTGAAGATTAACTCTACTTCCCATAATGTGCTGTTGTTGTACATGTCGTGAAACAATGCATACTCAAGCAGGATGAAGCATTTCAAAGTGCTGTAATATGAAGTTGAAGTACTTTAATTCAGCCTATCTTGTGATATCAGTATAAATATAGTCCCTTGTGGTATAGCGAGTGAGCCAGTAAGCCAGTGTGTTACAAGTCTAAGTGCTCTGACGCCTATATGGGCCCGTGATTTCAGACTATATCAGATCCCAGACAAGCTATCAGATGAACTCTTTCTACAGGATGCAGAGACAAAGCGCTTTGGGTGCAGCTCAGACACACTCAGAATCCATTACTAGGCTCTGCCGCCGCTGTACTTACTCCTAACTGAGTTTCCATTGAACCCTAGCAGGACTCAGCGCAGCTAGATGTCAGACTGTTACCGTAACAGGTATCTCAGCAACACTAATTGATGCACCTGAGGAAAAAAACAAAACATACAGTGCATTTTTTACTAGGATAAATGGCAGACAACTTTAACATTTTTAAGTTTCTACACTCGGCTGAAAGTTGGGGTATCAAAAAAGAAAAGGCAACAGAAAGAGACTTTTTGATGCTTCTGGTTCCTCTGCTCTAAGCTTCCATGCTGTGCTGCTACTCGCTGCTCATTGTAACCACCTTGTTTTGAGTCTAGACAGTGTACTTTGATGTATATCACCTCCCTCTCTATCACTATTTCACCTAATAAAAACACACCAGCGTATACGTAGATAAAAAGGGACAAATTAATCAATTTAGGTGGAAACAGTCATTAAAATGAAGTGCAGAGTTGCTTGTGCTTAATAAATGATGCAATCCTGTCAACTTACCTGCCCTGATTCACATATTTGAATTCCCTTAAGTTGGACAACATTTAAAGCCATCTTTTTTGTAGATGTCCAATAAGGGTTGATGGTATATTCAGTCCATTGAAGCATTCAACTTGATTTAGTCAATGTAGCACACACTGAGGGATATACTGTATAGCTCCATGGACCTCATTTACCATCAACCCTGATTGGACCTAACCTAAAAGGTTGCAAATGAACCCTTTTAATAATAACCTGTGTCTTTTTGGTTGTACACACTCTCAAACGAGCATTTCGTCCTGTAATGCTAACAACTAAAGCTGAATAGTCTCTCTGCAACATCTCCAGTCATTCTGACAAGCTCTCTACAAAGGTTGTTCTTCATGCCTTGACCTTTTCAATAATTTATTTTACTACAGGGTTTTACACAGTACTATTTGTGTGTGTAGGAGTCACTGGAAGTTTGTAAGCCATCTGAAATATATAGAAAACCTTGAAAGGAGCCTTGAAGAAAAGGATGGATACCAAGGCAAAGAGAGGAGAAGGAAGATAAACAAGAAAGATAAACAGAACGGTGAAAGAAGAAGATATGTAGGCCTACCATAGAGTCTGGAAAGATCCTCCGAACATAAACCCTAATCCACCAACCTCAGGTAAACACTGAATGGGAGAAAGACAGGATAGGAGTAAAAATGGAGGCAGAGCAATGGAGGATTATCAAGGACAAAGAAGGACGTTTGCCACCAATATATACGATGTTGGGGGAAGGGAACCAATAGAGTAGACGACCAGCTGTTATTTACAGAGGCTGACATCAACAGTGTGTCAACCTGTGTGATAAAGAAGTTATGAGCAGATTTCACACGACACAGTCCTTCATTGTCATTACTTCAAAGGGTACTACAATAGGCTGTAAATTACAATGCAATTTGATACAGTGCCATGAAGTTGACAAGGGGCATTATTATTCATCGATGCATACTTTCACAATCTCCCACCATTTCTATTGACACTGATGTGCTAATATGATATGCTGAGAGAAAAACACAATAGCAGATTAAAATATGCGTCGTTTGAAGATGATTTGCTCACAACATGCAGAATATTGCTTTTGGCGAGGTACACTGGATGCATAACCAAGTCCATTTTCACAGGAAATATACTTGCGTGCTTTCTGTTGGTTTAATGTGTATGCTACAAGTTAATACAAAATGTTTGACAGTCTTTGTAATGTAGCATTGCCAAGTGTTCTCCTCCTCAGTCTGTGAGTCAGAAATATTCTCCTGCAGGTTTCTGGACTCCTGACATAAGTTTCCTTCCCTCTGTCTCTTAACAACATATCACAGTAGAAAACCCATGTTTCCCCTCCTCTGCTCTTACTCTACTCGCTCTCAATTCTGCCCGGTACCCAGCCAGCCAATCACAGAGCAGAGATAGCTGCAAACACACTTCCTCTGCAGCTGCTTTGCTTTGGAAAAATGCTAGGAAGTCCTACTGCTAGATTCTCAAATGAAAACCTTGAGGCGTTTACACATGTTTTGTTGTTTTATTTATATTTTAAATGATGAAATGCGCCTATGTGTGTGTGAGGAAGAGATTAAAGGAGAGGGAGTGTAGATTATTATCCACTTCACATTGGACAGTGGATTTGACAACAAAGCCGGGCAGACAGTACAAAGGGCTTTGGCGGTCGCTAATCTGTCATTAAGGCTGCCGTATTTTCGCTGAATTGCTCTTTTTTTATAGTCCACACGAGAGATGTGCGCGCGCACACACACACACACACACACACACACACACACACACACACACACACACAACAGGCATACATGGGATTAGTATGTAAACCGTCCATATAGGGCACTATTAAAAGAATGTTGTCTCTCATTAAACGAGATGACCCCCCGTCTCCTTGTCCCGATTGTGCCGGGGGTTAATGTTTGTGTAGCCTGGCTGTTGCTGCCCCTGCTAGCTTATTTAGCTTGTTATGCTAAGTGAGGCTCACTGGAACATGGGTTGCTGTTAAACCAAACCCCAAGAGCTATGTGTGTCAATGATCATATTTAAGAACACCTTTATTTTGAAATTCCCATGACACTGACAAATGACACACCTTTCTAAGCATTTAAACAGTGTTAAAACATAAGAAGTTTAGCACTTTGATTTGACAATAATTACAAATAAAATCTATTTAAGAGACACACAAAACGTCAAATCATACCTAAGTGGCACAGGTAAATGGGCTTTTGACAAATGAATCAAATACAACTCGTATAGTGGCACACTTTGTAAAATCAGCACGAAACCCATCTGTTTCGATTTTTCCTTGGCAATGAAGTTCTTGAAAAAACAGGAAGAGCACTTTAAAAAGTTAATTTTGGACTTTTAACTTATTCACCAGCAGTTACAATGGTACGACTGGCTTGAAGTGAATATATCTGCACTTCCTTTGTTTTTCTGAGTTTGAATCTTTATGGTTTTTGCACTTAATTTAAGTTGCTTTGGATAAAAGCGTCAGCCGAATGAAATGCAATGTAATGTCTTATTGTTTACAAAGAACCAATATCATATTATTTCATGATAATGTTTGCGGTTTACACCCTTAAAAACCAAGTGCTGCTGATCTTGTTTCTGTGATTTAAGACAACATTAACTTAAAGGGGACCTAGCATGCAAAATGCACTTTAGCACCTCTTTTATACATGAATATGTGTCCCCGGTGTGTCAGGGAACTCACCAAGTGTCAGAAAACACAACTGTCTCTCTTTTCCCTCATTACCCCAAATTCCTAAAAACGGTCCAGAATGTATGACATTTTTGTTTTTTTAATTGCATTACAGAAAATAAAGAACTTTATCACAATATTCTAATTTTCTGAGACAGTCCTGTATGGGCAACTCTCCACCTATCAGGGGAATGAGAGACCGCTCGAAAGCACTGCAGATGCTGTAGTACATATGCCAGGCCTGTAGATGGCGCTGTAGTCTGCCACAAAAGCAGAATCAGGCTTTCAAAAACAGGGCTGGAAAAGAGTAAATAGAGTGAAATGAGGCTAAAATGCATGATCTGTTTGGTATTTTGAAAAAGAAACTTCACAGACATGTTTTATATAGGTATGGCCCTACAATATATGTTTCAAATATAGCACGATAGGTCCAATTTAACTTAACCTCATGACATATACTTTACTTCCACATCACTGGATTTAATTATCTTCTAGAGATGTTGGGCCAAACTCAATTGAAGGGATCATACACGGTCATAGGCAAATATTCCCTGCAAGGAGACACATTTGCTCTTCCCTGGTGACAGCACTTCAGAAACAGTTAAAAACACAGAAAGTAGGGCGACATCAAACACAGCAAATAATGGAAAGCTCTTTACTTTTATCCTAATCTTCTCTGGCTAGAAAATTGCCCGAGAAAAGAGCTTCAGGGTTGTCATTGTCAGAATATTGAACACTTTCTAAAGTGCAGTCTGAGCTCCTGTCAGCGTGCACTGGAGAACAGTTGACAGGTTTGTGTAGGCGTGTGTTTGTTAAATGAAGCCCCACAACACAGATAGCAAGTTATTTTGGTTGTGAAGCATTATAACATCATTAAAGCCTAAACTTGACTAATAAGGATAATCTATGATATGAGTTGCTTCCTGTTTTAGCATGCATGAGTTTGCAGTGCAACTTGACTCACATGCTTTCCATTCATCCATTGACATTTTGAGTTGCAAATGAGTATTCACATTAGCAAGTGACTTTAGAAGTGAGTGTGCGTGAACATGTGTTGATAAAGTGTGCAAGCTTGTCATGCAGACAACTCGTTGACTTTGAGGCGAGTGGAGCTCCTCTTCATCATCCTCTCACTCTCTTCCTTCACACTCACCATGAATGCTCGCTAATATGCACCGTGCATATGCTCCCTCTCTCGCTGTCACTTCCTTCTCTCACGCTCCGCAGGGTGACTCAGTTCTCTCTCTCTTTTTCTCCTTTGTCTCTCTTAGATCGCATCTGATGCCCAGGCTGAAGGAGTCTCGCTCCCATGAGTCATTGCTCAGCCCCAGTAGCGCTGTGGAAGCCCTGGACATAAGCATGGAGGACGAGGTCGCCATCAAGCCTGTTCACAGCAGCATCCTCGGGCAGGACTACTGCTTTGAAGTGAGGGGGCTGACACACACATGCAGCACTGTACATGTACACACAAATACTACAGAACGTCCACACCTCTGGCTCTACTTCATTAAAGCGCCAACATACAGTTTTAATTCTGGTGTTGCTATTTCAGGCATCCTATTTCAAATGATCCTCATTATTATCAGCATTGACAATTATGAGTGACAATTCTCAGTACAAAGAATAGGCAACTCGAAACATATTTTGGTCAGGCTTCTTCACTTTAACATTAATTGTATACATGCATTTTTTACGTATTCCTTACGTAATATATCACTTGCACTATTCTCTTGAAGTATTTATTTTTTTTTTTTTCATTTTATGTCGATGTATTTTTAAGTATGTCGACCAATTTGAGGACCCTGGGAATAAAGATTTTTTTCTGAAAATGACAATAAAGCCTTTAAATCTTAAATGTAATAGTAAGGAGCCAGTGCCAGAAAGGCATTTAAACCTATCCCCTTACATTATTGAAATGCCAAAATATGCACTGTTGGAACAATAATTTCAAATCCAGCAAATACATTCACTTTCTATTGAGACTCCAATTTTTGATGAACAGTTTATAGACAGCTTTTCTGCATTGAATAACAGAAGCAAATGCCTATGCCTAAATGTTTCTGGTTGTAGAAAGTAAATGGAAGCACAGCGATCATTTGTTTCAGTCCCTGGCTTTGTGAAAACTGATGAATCGTCATGGTCATCAGCGGACTGAAGTAATTTCCAACAAATTACCTGTAATTACTGTAGGATTCACGTGTGCACAAACACATATATGCATACATGCAGCTGGGGGCCTCGGGTGGGGTAAATGACTGAATACTTTGAATCCTACACTCTCTTCCGTAGAGAGCAGAAATCTTCACTAATCTTCATTACCCTGCTCATTACATCACACCGCTGGTTTTTTTTCACTCCTTTCTGTTCTCTCTGCGTCCCACTGTGGGTTTTTTAATGATCCAGTCATCATCCCGCCTGCCAAGCCACCATCTCAGTCCATTCACACATTCACACATGTGTCGATAAGCTTCTCTGAGACAAAGTGGTATTTAAGGACTAAGTTTAGTAAAACATTTTGTTCTCCATAGGTCACCACCTCCACAGGAACCAAATGTTTTTCCTGCCGATCATCCGCAGAGAGAGACAAATGGATGGAGAATCTGAGGAGAGCGGTGCAACCCAACAAGGTAAATACGAAGCGGGTGGGACGATACTGCGTGCCGCAATCACCGCTAATAAGTTCATGCCCGAGTGTCCCAATTCCACACCACGCTTTGCAACATTGGTTATCATAAAGACAGTGAGATACACGGTGTTGAAATTGTGTTGTAACTCCAACAACAACGCAATCTGATCTGTGGCCTCCAGCTGTGCCCTTCCTGCACGCACACAGAGGACACAGAGGTTACATCGTGCTCTGCTCCTGAGCATTGATACCATCTATTATATGACAGGTACAGCTGTGGCACAAGCAGAGTTGCATCACGTATCAAGCCGAGAAAATAGTCCTCCTCTCACAGCTTCGTTATCTAGTAAATCTCCATCATTTGAAAAAAACAATCCTTAATAACGTTGGAGGTTTTCTCTTCAGCTATTTTTGGAGGTTTTCTCTTCAGCTATTTTTGGCAAGGAGGTGTTTATATCCATCATCCTCTATTTTTTTGCTTTGTGTTTTTTTAATTATTCTATGATTTTGAGGGATTAGATGCAATATGTTTGGCAAACATAAAAACTGGAATCAGATAGCGGGATTCTTTGAGACGAGGAAGTCTCAAGAGTTGTATTTAATTGATTAAACATATTTTGCACTGCTAGGAGAGAATGTTAAAGAGGCCCTGTTATGTTTTTGGGGGTTTCTCTTCCCTAACATAGTGACATCACTGCGTAACACTTGTGCTTCTATTTGCTAGCAGTCCAACACATTGTACCTGATAGGTTAAGGGGCGAGAAATCCCTAAGTGGTTGACCTATCACAACAGAGCCAGCCAGCTAACCAATCAGAGCAGACTGGGCTCTGGTTTCAGACAGAGGGTGAAAAGAGGCGCTGCAGCACAGGCAGAACATTAAAGCATGAAGAAATGTCACTGTAGAGGCACTAAATACTAATATGACAGTTATAAGGCATAATAGTGGCCACCCAAGGTAACACACCAATGTACACACACTTATAATATCAAGACTATTCATCCACTAATGAGTAATACAGGTATCAAGATTAATAACATTGTAACAACTCTAACAGCAAATGTTGCTCCGTGTTATACATCTTAATATGTAACGATCTACAATGATAAAGTACATATTGTTCGACAGAGATGAATCTGACAGGGCATTATGCAGGACCCAGAACACTCCACCTGTTTCTGGTTTGCAGTTCAGTATTTGTTTCTGGGACCTCGTCTGAGAGATTCTTTTCCTACGCTGGTGCTCGACAGAAGGAAGAAGATGCTCACATAGTTAAAATATGGAATAAAAATGGAAATAAAAAATAGATGCAGTGACTTTCCACACCTCTTTACCAGAGATGTAATCACTGTAAATGGGATTATGTGCTCTAAATGATAAACCTGAGCAATTTAGCTCGTGTATAAGAGGATAATTATGGTGATTATGATAAAAGGTTATTAACACAAGTATCATCTTTCTAGGCTTGTGTTTAATTGGTAATACATTTCCGTGTGACATAATAACCCAACGTTTAATTGGTGATGTGAGGCGTGATGAACCCAACCGCTTGATCTCCTATTGTTTGGCAGATCAGCCTCTCTACTTATCTCCCATCTAATGCATATTTTGGAAGGTTTAGAAACACCTGATATTTGGATGAAGAGACAGAAACACACAAATCAATTATTTGAATTACATTTTTCTCAAGCAGAGCTGCCTTTATTTCAAACATCCACTGGCGTCCTTATGTTTATGTAAGGCTCTGGTGTTTCTCTCTAATATTGTAATTATGTGCTGCTTTTTCGCTCTCTTCATCTTCAGAGGTCATTTTCAAGGCAATCTGAATAATAGTCCAAAAATATGCCCTTCTATTGGCGACACAAGAATGGGTTAGTACTCTGTGAAATAGTGTAGGAGTACAATTTTCTTGCTCTCTAAAATATTGAAAATGCGGGAAATAAAAGATTTATAATCATCAAGTACTTTCTGAGATGTTTAACGGAAATGACGTGGATTGATGATGAATGATGTTAACATTTAACTTCTGCGGCCATTTGATTTATTTCGTTTTTTGGTATGTTGGATACGTTTTAAGGTTGGTTACTTTCAGCCATGTGCTCCAACTAGAAGCCATTTTGAACCTTTTCTCTTATAAACTTCCCTGTGGAGATATTGTTGTAAACTGTTATAGAGGCCCTATTTAGCTTTTCCTGGGTTTTCCCTTCCCTGTAGTGTAGTAATTAGTAATATAGGTTTGTGTGCATGTAAATGGTCTCAAAGGATAAAATCCCTGTGTTCCATCAAGAGGGAGCTGGTAGTGTATAGACCTTTGTAACCGCGACATAGTACCATACCTATGTACTGTATCACTCGCTCCAACACATTGTACATGAAATGGGCGGGACATCTCTAAGCGGTTGTCCAATCACGACAGAGCCTTCCACTTTCAGACAGAGGGTGAAAAGAGGTGCTGCAGCACAGACAGTATGAGGAAAATAAAGCGCTTTTTGAACATTAAAGCATGGAGACATGTCACAGAAAAGGAACAAAATACATATGAACCTGAAAATAATCTTAAACTGTTAAGAAACCATACTAACCGACTTCCTTTCCTCCTCTACAGGACAACAGTCGTCGGGTGGAGAACCTGTTAAAGCTGTGGATCATCGAGGCCAAGGACCTGCCTGCCAAAAAGAAATACTTCTGCGAGCTTTGTCTCGACGACTCTCTCTACGCCCGCACCACCTGCAAACTCAAGACTGACAATGTTTTCTGGGGCGAGCACTTTGAGTTCAACAATCTGCCCGCTGTCCAGAGCATCACAGCCCACCTGTACAAAGACACAGACAAGAAGAAAAAGAAAGATAAAAACAATTACATCGGACTCGTCAATATCCCCATCGCCGCGGTTACCGGGCGACAGTTTATGGAGAAATGGTATCAGGTCAGCCTGCCAAACCCACCTAAGGGAAAGACCTCCGGGCCTATGATCAGGATCAAGGCCCGCTATCAGAGTATGAACATCCTTCCCATGGAGATGTACAAGGAGTTTGCAGAGTACACCACCAACAACTACATGCTGCTGTGCTCCGTGCTCGAGCCTGGGATTAGCGTGAAGAACAAGGAGGAGATGGCGTGTGCGCTGGTGCACATCCTGCAGAGCACCGGCAAGGCTAAGGTAAGAACCCAATATATGATTTATTTCCATTTGACCCTCGTTTGAACTCTCCAAGGAGACATACCGGATAAAAAAACATAAAATGAGACCATTATTCTGCTTTGAGGCACTGACAAGATATTATGAGGTTAGCAATTCCTCCGCCGCCTGCTCATGCTATGAACTATTGACCCCCCAAAGCTGTAATACAGAGCAGACAAAGAGCGGACAGACGGGCGATTTCCTCTTGCTGCACCAGCCGGTATTACATTTTTAACTCAAGCTAATCCCTTACATGTATCCCCCGCAGTGCTTCAAGGCATACCGATGCAGGACAGAAGCACAATGTTTCCACCACTGTCTGCAGCAATGAAGCACAGGGAGATTAGTCTGCCACAGCAGGAGCCACGTCTCCCTGACAGCAGGCAGTTGGGCTCAGATAATCTCACATCCAGCACGAATGGCTGTATTTGACTTCATTTTAACAGCACAGCGTTTGCCTTTTGAGTGCAGGGAAACAGACGCAGGCCATTTTGACCCTGCATAACATCAGCATGGGGCATGAGAGGCAAAGCTGTCTTATTGGCTGCTGATGAAGAAAGGGATATAGAGAAAATGAAAGCTGAAATAGAAAAATATGAGTCAAAATTAACCAGCAAATATGTTAAAAACAGGCTATTTCTTCAATCAATCAATCAATCAATCAATGTTTATTTATATAGCCCAATATCACAAATGTTACATTTGTCTCAGTGGACTTCACAGTTTGTACAGAATATCAGTATGACAATATTCAAGATTTAATGACAAAAATCTACAGGCTCCGGTCCAGCCATTTAAATAGAAAAATATATAGCTTTTCTCAGTTTTATATCATTGTAAATTGAATATCTTTGCGATTCAGTCTGTTGGTTTGAGAAAATAAGACTTTTAAGAGATGTCAAACTTTGTTATGGGTATACATACAGGGAATCTTTCACTATATTCTGTTACCTCAACTAGTTTAAACTGTTCATTTCTAGACGTTCTGCTAATAATGAAGGAATTATAATAATACAAATGGATTTCACTCAGTTCCAAAGCATTTCTAAAGAACAAAAGATATTTTTTTCGTCAGCACATAGGCTCCCGTTGTCCTTGTTTTGTTTGAAAAAGCTGTCTGCTTTTAGAGTCATATTTCTTCAGTCGGCTTTCTTCACTGCGGCCTCGACTCTTTGTCTTCTCTCTTCAGTCGGCCGCGACAGCTTGTGCCTCAATTTAGTTTTCTCTTTGACAGCATCTCATCAGCAGAGCTTTGAAACTTTCTCTGACTTTATCACAGCTCAGCGGAGTGATGAACGATCAGTGCCTAAGAAGTGATGTCTATCCACACTGTACCGCCGGTTTAGACTCAGGACTGATGGATGCTGATGGATGGGGGGNAGCGCAAATTTCTCGATCTATGGAAGGTTTTAGATGGTTTAGAACAAAAAGGAGAATATACGTAAGTGCTAGTTTTTTTGCGAATCCAAGTACCGGTTCCCGACGTTCCGGTTTTAACTGAAATCTTTTACAAGTCCAGTACCGGTTCGGCGTACTGGTACGCAGCACTAATTATGGTCCATCTGATCTTATCTTAAATCTTACCCAAATGAATATTAGCTGATTCCTGTCTCTATTCGTATAATATTCAGAAATATAAAAAGGCAGTTGTGTATTGAGGTAGCCTATGAAATCGTATACCATCTGTCCATTGTCACTTGCTGCAGTGGAGAAAACAGTTGTGTGATGGGTAGCCGGAGAACATAGACAAGAAAACAAGTGTCTAGCCAACAGCGAGAGACAGAAAGAAGAGGAGGCAAAGGAAAAGAGACAAGGGGGATCCTGTCAGATGCTGCTGGTGCAGAACTGCAGAATGTGTGAGCTGAACCACTGACATGTGGCTACAGGGCCTTGGAGCCAAAACACCAATCAGGGAGGCTAGAAGAGCCAGTCAACAAGAGCACACCTCATTCGCTACAGAGAAAGAAAGATCTCTGGAGAGTTTGTGAGTGAATGAAGTGAGCTGGAGACGCAGCAGCTAATGCGAGAAGCCCCACCACCATTCCCTTCGCCAATAGCCCCTGGAGGAACATTTCCACACATAACATTGAGACTCCTTGTATCAAAAAACCCTTTCTGCTCAACCATCCGTGCCTTCTGTGAGTCCTGATTGGCTCTCGTATCGGACCACATAACAATGACAGCGAAAGGGAAACACAAAAATGTGCATTTAGACAGACGGGCAACATAGATGAGCGGGCACAGTGAAGTCCATGTTGGTCCATATCTGGTGCATTAGCACATGTGCTGGTTGAGGGCGTCCGCTCTTTAGACTCTAACTGTACCAGTGGTCTAATGCACACAAGACAAAAGAAAGAGAGATTATACTGGGAAGAGAGGAGAGAGGAACACTGCCCTGGGCATCAATAGGGAATACAAACTGAAGCTATGGTGTGACCGCTTTTGTGAGGAAAAAATAGTTAGAGCTATAGATGAAAGCACACATTAGCTAAAAGTGTAGAAGGACAAAGACCACCTTTCACTTACAGGAAGCTTTTAAAGGCAAGAAAAGAACCACACACACACCCCTTCTCACTTGACACATGCAGACTGGAAAGGAGTTAGCATTAGCATTTGCTAATCTCAGCTCTTCTGGAGATTGTTGATGGGGAGTGCCTGACTCAGAGCACTGGCGGACACGCTGAATTGTGGGAAAGTTTGGCTGGTGAGTGAGATCAGGTGGTTGGGAGAACAACTGTTGGGAGAGCTAACGCAGCCATCGAGCCAGACTGTGACACACACACACGCACAGCTTGATTACAGTGTGAGCGAGTCCCTGCTAGGCTAGGAGGTAATTCAGTGTAACATCTGCTAGGACACTCACTGCGGGAGACGATACGCAGCGCTGAGGAGCTGCTTGGGGTTTGGATATGAGGTCATGTGCTGAGTGAAAGAGAACAGAACAGCTGGCTGCGAATACAACCACTGGACAGAGGAGATCACACTAGCAGCTGCAGGACAGTCAGCCAATTAGCTGTGAAGACTTTCATTTTGGTGGTGATTTTATGAAAGTATTTATTCTTGCCAAGCTCTGCAGGATGTGACACATGTGGTACATTCTTCTTACTACTTATTCTTCTACCAGATGAGCTATGAGGGAATTGGTCATTAGATCATATTACGTATGACTGTAACAGTAAACATTAGAGTAAGGCATTACATCTAATTTCCTAATAATTCCTAATATAAGAACAGATATAGGCTACCCTTATATTTTAAGTGACAATGACACTAAAGTGATGTTATATTATGAGTGTACCAGACTGTAATGATATTTGCCTTTACAAGCTTAGTCATTACATTCAATAGGCTAATGATGTTTCATCAACATTCTCAATGTGTAAATACAAGCATCAATAGCTAACCCTACAATACTGTCACAATATTGATATTAAGGTATTTGGTCAAAAATAATGGGATATTTGATTTCTTCAAATTACTTAGCTCTAGTACATGTAATCGTATCGAAACATATAGTACAGGATGTTTGGTTAGCTATGCCATTGTTGTTACTGTATGGGACCTCATTTTAGAGCTTTTACTTCTGGATAGCAGGTTTTATCCAGAACGTTTTGGCAGTTGCACCAATTAGCTGTATCATGCTAGTCGGTTTAAGCCCTGTTAGCCAGATTGATTAAGCTCAATGGACAATATGGATACGAATACACACATTAGTTACAATGTCACTTGAATGTGTCAATAAGCAGAATGAGACACAATCAAAGGGAAGCTGAGTCCTTCTCCACACAGCATGCAAGCAGCCTCCTATACCGTGGATTCAGAGTGCCAGAGTAATAATTTATGCTTTGATGCTATCGTAATTATTTTCTATTTTGTTTCAGCATGTACATTTTAGTCAATTTTCTGCCTTGCCTAAATCAGAGCAAGCTTCATCACTGTTCAGTAATTGATCGACAGGTCTGAGTTTCAGATGGAGCATAACTGGCATTTATTTATTTGTGTCGATTCCTTTTCCTTACTGCAAATATGCTAGAATTTGTGCCCTAACCGTTGTAGTAATAATTACGGCAAATGAGCCTCTATTGAATGCTTACGTGTTTTGTCATTCGTTGTCCTTATGGAACCGAAAACATGTGAACAATGGTCTCTGTTGCATTGAAGGAAGTATGTATGTGCTGGTGTTTGTCTTCAACTCACAGTAATTACATTCAGGGGGCCAGATAGGAACGCTAAAACACTGCAATGACAGATAATGCATAATGAGGTCAAAGGTCGGACTAATGAGTAACTCCTTCAGGAGCAGCTATTGTCAGACGACAAAGGTCAAATGTCAGTCTAATGACTAACGGCTTTCCGGGAACTCACCAATGTGTTATTAGCGGAATATTGATTCAGACATTGTCCATTGTGGGACATTTTGGGAAAAATCCAATCATGATGGAATATGGCTGGACTACAATACACACATACAAGTCGTTTTTTATGTAACACAACCCTGTGGGATACTCTGTCTCATGATTTGTTGTCTCTGGCAAAGTACGACTATTCACCCACACACACTCACACACACACACAGGTGGTATCTTCCAAGGAATCACCAAAGACACTGCCAAATATGAAGTAGACTAGTATGATTGTGAATGATTAATCAGTGCACCAATGTCTTCTATAAATGGGTTTGCATTTATAAAACTGTCACACAATAATGACTCGTATGATAAATAACTGAATACATTAACATGTCATAAAGTATTTTCTAAGCAAGAAAATGAAAAACAAAAAACAAAAATACACCTAGGGAGAAACTTTTTTCGTGGGGTGGTGGCGATGTCCATAGGGATTGGCTTGGGAACCGAAAGGTCACCGGTAAAAAGTCCCCGAAAGACCAAGTGCTACCGAGGTGTCCCTGAGCATGGCTAGGTTCCCTACACTGCTCCCCGGGCGCCATACATAATGGCAGCCCACTGCTCCTAACGCTAGGATGGGTCGAATGCAGAATGTACATTTCCCCTCTGTGGGACGATTAAGGGTATATTACATTTTTTTTTTTAAATCACAATTTATGACATCATTTTTAGAGCTATATTCCATTATCTATATATTTATTTTGTTCTTGATCTACTGAGCAAGATAAATTATCATCTTTTCCTCTCCGTCATATCCCTAACATAATTCTATTAATACAATTAAATATTTGAGTTGTTCTCAATCAGACAACTAGGTCAGCATATATATGTTTACTCTATATCCTCCGGAGCAACAGGAACATTGACAGACTGCCTTATGCATGTTGTTTGTTTAACTTGCACTATCAATACATTGAGTGTGAGG